CTGGACCACTTACTAATACTCTCCAGGCTATTGCCAACTCGAACACTCAACTCTCTGAAATTACATTTTACACAGATAGGTCAGTTCTTGACCTCGGCTCACCAAACTGCTCTATGGGTATTGGATGGATACAAATTCATCAAAGTGATATACCATATTTTCGCGTAATAACGCCCATGAGCGTTATTTCGAATTTTGGCCCGAATTAAACTTAATTTAGACCAAAATTTGAAATTACACCCCTGCGCGTTATTATGCAAAAATACGGTACTACACAGATTTCAAGCCCAAATTAAATATTGACCATGTTCTTTTAAAGCAGAACTTGTCGCTATCCTATCAGCTATCATTATAGCACCTAGATCCTGCACAATTCATATTTTTACTGATTCACAATCTGTTATTTCTAAATATAACAGTATTACAGAATCATCATTTATTCTGTCTTTTACAAACTCATCATACTCTATACTTTAGTACACTCTTATTAATTTTATCAAACCATATAAGCTACAAATCATCTTTTATAAAGTTACTGCACACCAAGATGATCAGTTTAATAATCTTGCTGATCAACTAGCCCGCTGTCACCTTACTTCAGATTTTCTCCTTTTTAAGCTATATAATATTTATAATCCCAACTATACTCTTCAACTAGATGAGCATCCTCTCGAGCTACCAGTTCGACGTTCTATTCGTACTATCTATCATGCATATATTTATGCTCTGTAGTCATCTCAATATAGATTTCAACAGTGGTCACAAATTGCTACTCATATTAACTGGCCTGCTACATGGCTTTACATTAACAATAATCAAAAAATTTCTAATTTTCACATAGCTTTCAATCTTCTACTCTCAAATCATTTCGAGTTAAAATTCTTCTCGATGAATTGCCTACACCTCATATACTATAAACGCAATCATTATCCTTCACCAAATTGTCATCACTGCAATCAAACAAGCACTCCACTACATTGGGTTTCCTGCCCTTCACCAACATTACTTTATAACCTTATCGACAATTCTCTACAACAGGTTATTAATTCTACATCATTAAATATTGCACCAGAATCAATTATTACACTCTATAACCAAATCAACAATTTGGATAGTATGGCATTTCACAAAAATCATCATATCCCATCTATAAACTCAACCTTATCTGGTCTCATTCCTCTTGATATGATAAACTTACTTAAAGACAATATATCATCTGCTAAATTAGCTTCTACTATTACTATTAAATTCCTTTTACATCTTAATTCACAAATTTATCACAATATCTGGATACCTTATTGTACTGCTCGTTCTTTGGTCCAACCTCTTAGTGATCCTTTATCTTCTCTGCCTTCTCCCCTTCCTTCTTCATCTTCTCAACTTTCGCAACCATTACCTGCTACTCTTGCTCGTGCTAAAATAGAACTTTGATATCCTCTATGGATTAAATACCAAACAAACTTAAACTATATAATTACTTAAATTTAATGATGAATATGCATATACAACTATAGAAATTGGAAAAAATAATGATGGCTATTGGAATACAATAAGACTTATTAATCAAGTTGAAAAGGCTATTTCAATTTTGAAAAAAAATTTTCAGATTGTATTGGATTATTTGCTTTGATCATAGTCCTGTTCATAAAGCATATAAATATGATGCTCTTCTTGCAAAAAGAATGATTTTAGGACAAGCTAAAGAAGTAGATAAAAATGGAAATAAAATAGAATATAAATATTTAATGAAACTAACTTATTTTGGACTTAATAATCAAAAGCAACAAATGCATATTGATGGTATTCTAAGAGGAATGAAAGAAATATTAACTGAATGTGGATTATGGAAACAAGGATTAAGAGCAGATTGTTCTGAATGCAAAAAGAAAATTATTGATAAAAATAGAACAGATTGTTGTGCTCGAAGAATAATATCATTACAACCTGATTTTTTAAATCAAAAAACATTATTAGAAGAAGTAATAGAAGCAAGAGGTCACAAATATATTTTTTTTCCAAAATTTCATCCCGAATTAAATTTTATTGAACAATACTGGAGTGCAATAAAAAAATATATTTGTGACCATTGCATATATTCTTTATCAAATTTAAAAAAGATAATTTCAGAAGCTATAGATTCAGTTAATATCATAACAATAAGAAAATATACACAAAGATTATGGAGATTTTTAGAACTATATAAAAAAGGGTTAAATGGTAAACAAGCCCTTTATATTGAAAAAAATATAGATCTCATAGGCGTATTCCAGAAAATTTATTAGAAGAATTAGATAAAATAATAGCAGAAGAAAATTTAATTACTTCTAATATAAATATAAATGAACCAGAGTTAGATTATATAGAATTTAATGAATTTGAAAATAATGAATTAGAATTAGATTATATTGAATTAGATGAAAATGAAAATATATTAGATGATTCAGAAATAATTTATGAAAATTAATTTAAAATCTATATATTTTAGTTTTATATCGCAAAATAATCTATTAAATCAAATTATATTCTTTGTTTAAAAAATATTTTAATAAAAAAAATTATTTAAGAATTTTATTATCTTATAACCTAAATATTAACTAGTTAATTTTAATTAAACAATTTAAATCACTACACCTATACTTATAGAAAGACATATACATAGATTATACAGCAAATTATAGTTGATTTTCTTTAAATACATTGTATTGAGACCAGACTTTTAGCAACATGCATTAAGAAAATAATTAAAAAAAATGCATTTATAGAGATCAAATATATATGTGGCCCTAAATTTGAATCTGCTTTTAGAAAGAAGATGTATTTAGAGAGAGTTGACTGTACTATACAAGCTATCAGCTTGGTTTTTAAATTTTAACAAGTATTAGAAAATAATAGAGCTATTATAAAATAATCTAGACTAAAGCCAAAATTTAAGTAATTTACAAAAAATTTGAGATCTAATTAGCATCAAAATAGTGCAAAATATATTAAATTATTTTTTGAAAATTTATATTAAATAGGAATAATAAATACTAAATTGATTAAATAAAAAATATACAATAAATAAATTGTAAAGAAAAAGCTGCTATATTTGAAAACTTTGAAAATATAGGTCTTTGCCTTGAAAATAACCTTACAGTACATGATACTGTAATATCATTTTCAAGACAAAGACCCATATATTAAGAATTTATAAACATCAATTACAACAGTTAATAATAAACTTTTAAAATAAATTAATACTACCTGAAATTACTTTAATTAAATAGTATAAGAGTAATTTAAATCAATTTAAAAGTAGGGTAGACATAGATCATTTTTAATAGTCATCATATTGTATTCATATGAAATTATGTGATTAACCAATCAGAATTGTAGAAACAACAAATTTGACTAATCAGAATTGATAATTTTTGTGTGATCTAAAGAAATTTGGGGTTATATATGCAATTTTATCAATATATGAAGTAAATTTTTTTAAAAAAATATAATGTTTATAATTTTACTGTTTTAAATAAGAGACCCCAAATTATATACTAAAAAAATTTGATGAAGATTAGTCACGATTCTAAAAAGTTTTATCAAAGATGAATTTTTGTTGTTTATGTAAAATTTTAAAATACCATATAGATCATATGAAAAATGATTTATATCTACCTTACCCTTAAAGCTTACAATTATATCAAAACACAATTAAGATGTTAAATTTATAATTATAGTATTAACTTATTAGAAAGATTTAAAAAGCAAAACCATTTAACAAAAAGATTGATTTGAAAGTATTGAACTATAAAAAATCTGTTAAAATCTGTCAATTCTACTATAAAATTTAAATTTTATTTATATATTATATAACTTAGTTGAGTTATGAATAGTGATTGAATCTGAGTAAATATTATCTAAATTATCGTAAATAGGCAGATAGCTCAGATTAGATTTGGCAATCTGTAAGTTAGTTCACAAATAAACTGTAAGTATAAACAAAAATTAAAATTATAATTATGTATATAAATTTTTTAATTGTTTTTTATTTTTTTTATTTACCTTTGCAATATCGTGTGAAGGCGGATTTTTATTAGGTATTTTAGATAGTACACTATTGATTAATGAGAATACATTCTAGCCATATCTGCACCTTTTGAGCGTCTAATTAAGTAGCTACCTATTACTAGGGTCTACACTAGATACCATATCTGTAACCCACTTATTATTTGAATTACCTATTTAAACTCTCTGATATCCCCCGTCCTGTACCATTCACTTTAATCACGCCAGCACATAACCTCGTGCTGCTTCTTCTTGAAGACATTTGCTATACTACTTGTGCTCTAATTCTAAGATAACCTAGTAGGGTTCTCATATTACCGGGTTGCCCTAGAGAGGGTGTAGTACATATCCCCTAATCTTTCTATATCCCACGCACTTCCAAATTAGGCTATTAATACCTTCCACAGCAGCCGAAACTACCACTAGCAGTCAGGGCAAACCATTAAACCGCACAATTACAGTATCCGGTGCCTTTGCAAGGTTTGTTCTGATCCTAATATCTACATCAAGCTGGTCTTTATACTGATCCCTCTCCAACTACCAAACCAGTTAGCCCAGACGGATCTTTGTATCTAGGCTTTAAGTACCTTCTAGTTTTACTTCCCTTGATTTCTAATTCCATAGCATAGGACCTTTTCCTCCAGTGCGACTCCAGCGGCCAGGTTGGTCGACTCTTCTTGCCTCAGGGTTTTCGTCTAGTTCTTTGGTCTTTGGCTTTCAACTTTTTCATAGTACCGTCAAAGAACTTCACTACCTCCTTACTCAAGTCTTGCCAAACAGGTTTCAATTATTCCAGTTCCTTGGATTTGAATTGCCTAAGAGCTTCCATTTCAAGATAGTAGTACCAAGATTACAGGTATATACCCAACCGATCATCAAATAATTATTACCAGTACTCAGGCCTATTTTTTTAAAAACGTCTCCGGTGGAATTCGAACTCTAGACCTGCCGCTTGGGGGGTGACAACTTAACCACTACTCTAAGTCACCACACCCTAATTTTTTAATTGTTATTAGTGAAAATGCTTTAAAGATATTATATTTCTATATTCAATCAGAGCTATATATAAATATATAGTCTTATAATATTTATATTAGGCCACATAATATTAAAATTTTATTTTACATTATCTGGCATTTCAAAGTTTGATCTGGCAGTTAAATTATATTCTTATAAATTTTCATATAGTCTAAATCCTTAATTTTTAAATTTTTCTTGAAAGTGTATTTACTTGTTTAGATGATTTCAAAATCTTTAAATATTCAAATCAGTTAAATCAAAAAGCATTATAAAATAATATTGAGTTAAATTTATCAATAACTTGCTAGGTACAAGAGTAATATATAGCTGTACTAGCCTATATATTAATCTTTTATTAATCTTAGAATTTGAAAATTAGTGTCTTAGTAACAGACTTATAAAATCTACATTCTTTATCAAAAAAATTTGATAATCATATATTTCTCAATACTGCAATAATAGACAATATTTAGCTACTTGGATTAATGTAGTTTGATAGAATTCACTGACAATTTGCCTCTAGCAAACATTAACTATAGATTAATCTAAGCCTAATCTAAAGCAGAACAACTTTTTCAGCAAAATAGTTAGGGTCAATCAATATTTATATATAGTAATTTACTATTAAGAGCAGCAGATTTTAATTTCTGTTAAAATTGTTCATGTTAATTTTAAATTAAAGATTAACTAAAAATAGGAATAATAATTGAATAATTTATTATTATGTCAGAGATTGTTATTAATATTAAATTAGAAAAGATACTTTTAAAATATACCTAAAATTTACAGATTTATCATAAACTATAGTAATTATATGTATTGTATAATTTTATATATAAAAAAAAAATAGAATTTACACTAAATTTGTAAATTTCAAGTCTAATATAAACTTTAAAATTGCTAATTCTGCAATTAAAAATTATTATATTTATATTTTTGGTCATAATAATCAATAATATAGCATTATTATATTTATAGTTTTGGTCATATTAAATTAAAAAATGAATATATGGTTAATCACTATATTACTATAAACAATCTATTTTTTCTAATATATATTCTATAAAATATGTTTGTAAATTTGTTAGTATCATACACTCTGTTCAGCTTAGATCAGCTAAGTGTTTGCAAAGCAAGAGCTTATAGACTATATAAAATGCTTTTAATTTTGTAAACAATAGACCACCTTTTTCATTTTTGCTTATATAATTTAATTATATACTAATATCAGAGATGATCTTAAAATTAATTAAAGTTGAGCAACATAATAATTATGTAAGTGATAGTATTTTTACATATTTTATTAATTATTATATATTATTATTTTTTTTTTAAAAAATTCAGCAGTCTTGCCACTTTTTATTTAAGATTAAACTAAAATAAGAAATTTACATTTTCTAATAATAGCTATTCTAATCTAACTAAAAAGTGACTTACCTATACTTTTACCAGATATGACTTGCATTAGTGAACTTTAAACATCTCTCTGGGCCTCTAACTTACTAGATGTTATCCTTTGGTCATGAGCTAATACCACACACTGTATCAAAGTTAGCTTTTCTTTTTACAAAATGAAGTACAAACACAAATACAAAGGGCATAACAAAAATAAGAAAATACTATAATGTCGAGTTCTGGTTCACCTAAACCAATAAAACCAAATAAAATAAATAACAAAAAGAAAAGAAACAAAAGAAAAAAAAACAAAGATAGCACTATTAAATCTGTGCTGGATTGTAAAAATTATATAGTACTACAAATAAACTAACTAAACTCTATACTAATCATTTATGTCTATATCTAAAATATAAAAATATTAAAAAACTATCTGGTCTTGAAGTAGAGCTCCAAGCTTCAAAACTTTTGTATGCTATTCCAAGCCTGTCGGCAAACCTTTTGCAATGTTTTAACTTGTATCTTTCTGAGCAAAGTTAACGAGCTGTTGTCTGTTAATCTATGTCAGCAAATTGGGTATACTTGATATAACCACCACAACTTCTTGAGAAAAAAGTATCTTATGCTATAACCCAAAGCATACACATATATATGTACGTATATTTCCTTTTTCAGCAATGATTGTTGTTGTTGATCTTTTGATGGAGATATACTATTTTTTCTACTTTTTGGAGAAATTTCGTAAAGGCCAAGAAAGTGAGTATGAAAGAAGGTTTCAGTTTGCAGATAGCTTTAAACTTTGGTAGAAAATGTGTTTAAAACTTGCTTGTTGTTCTCCTTAGACCAACTATCTTTAACTTCATCAGCAGAAGCAGAGCTTCTATTAAAATTTTCTATACAAAAGCACCACCTCATTGTCAGTTATTTTGTACAGAAATGCTTTTAACTTGCATACTGAATATACAGAGGATTTTAGGAGAATAAAGAAGCCTTGACTTCTGTAAA